GCTGCTGCAGCGTGTTGATTTACGTCTAGACTTATATAATTATGTTTGCTTCCGGGGTCGCTGCTAAGTTATTATAGAAACCTACACCTGCGAATCAATTGTAGCTATAGCATTTGTTCGCTAAAGTGAAAGGTCTGCAAAATCACGATGGTTATTTTTAAGCCTCGGCACCGTGTATGGTCCGGTACGTACATGGAAATCGTGTTAAGGTGCGACGGGGGGGGGGTGAGGACTAATATTACCAGTGCGGGAAGTGTGCCGTTAGGGTTACGTACCGAGCTGTATATTGACACGTTTTAATCCATTAGATATGCAGCGTATGAATTCGCCGCGGTTACGACTGCAGCTGAAACTGCAAATAACACCCGCGCACCGTCGCTGACCGTATCGACCGTGACGTCACGACCGCGTCTCGTCGCCACGCCAACGCTAATCGTGCTCGCGCAGACGATGCGCGAGGCGAATGCGACGCAACCTGGCGGCGCGATTCGACAACTGAAGCGAGTAATTGTCTCGGCCGTCAGGTGGGGTATGTTGTGGTGGGAAATCATTTCCGATACGCGAACATTCATACCAAAAATTCCCCCATCAATCAGCAGCAGTTTTTTTTCAAGAAATCACAATGCCTCACTCTCTAAGATGACTGCGAAAGGGACACCATATATGCTGCTAACGCCAACGCTTGCATTATAAATGTCAAACGACACTAGCGGCTTTTACGGACAACGCAATCGCCGGATGCGTGTGTTCCTGTTACGTTATAATGTGATACGCTACCCTCCTATACACGGACTGCTATTAACACGTCAGCCATATCGGATTAACAGAACTATATTATACAGTAAGTCAGTATGTACGTCAGTTGTATCCTATATATCGTGTATCATGTGTTACGTCGGGTGGTTGGTACGTGCGTACACGTGAGGCAGGACCGGATTTCAACCTTCACCATAGAATCCTCCGCTATACGTCCTATTAGGAGCTAATCATGACAAATTTGTCATTATTAGCTCCTGGTCCTATATTATCAACCCAGAGTTTGATGGCCTCACAGGAGCTATAGTATATATATATCATGATATATATATATATTATCTATATATAATCATACTATATATATATATATATAATACTGACGCTGTAATTACATTAGGTGCAGGATATCTATCATACGGTGGCTGAGCCGCGCCTCATCCGTTATTTAACACAGACGCGCGCCGCACACGTATCACCGCGCGTATTATATTTAATGGCACCACGACACAGCACACCACACACACACACACACACAAAACACACAACACACACACACACACACACACATCACACCACGCGTCACCACACACACACCACACACACCACAACACCAACACCGACGACACACGCGCCAGTAGGCTTGCACGCACGCTCACAGCCCAGCACGCACGAGTACATCACGCACGCACACGCACACGCACGGCGTACATGCACGGCACGCACGCGTACATGCTGATGCACGACACAGCACGCACGGCACGCGTACATGGCACGCAGCAGCACACACACCGCACGTCGTACACTGCAACGCACGCCCACCACGCACGCGTACACTGCAGCACGCACACAACACATACCGCAGCGCGCACATGCACGCACGCACACGGCACACCACGGCGTACATGCAGGCGCCCGCACACGACGCACGCACGCGTACATGCACGCACGCGACGCGACAGCACGCAGCGTACATGCCGCACGCAACAGCCGCGCAACCCACACCGCACGCGTACATGCACACGCGCACAGCGATTTACATGCACGCACACACGTCCCACGCACAGCGTAGCAATGCACGCGAGCGCACGCGTACATGCCACGACGCACGCCACACACACGCACCGCGTACATCACGACGCGCAACACTGATTAGCATGCACGCACACACGCACGCCACGCGTACATCCGGACTCACACACACACGCACGCGTACATGCACGCACGCCAGCACACTGAGTACATGCAGCGCAACGCATACATGGCAGACGCGCATGCACAACGAATTACATGCACGCAACGCATACATGCACGCGCGCCATACGATGTTACATGCCACGCCATATATGCACGCGCGCCTGAACGGAACGAGTACATGCAATCAACCGCAGCATGGCACGTCGCGCGCACGCCACCACGCAGGACATGCCGCGCAATGCTATTCCCGCAGCCCCACTACGTGGCAAGAAGGCGCTCACCAAACATGCCACTTAGACTTTGGGACCGTTTTCAATATAACTAGAGCACTCGAGAGCAGCAAACCGTCCGCCAAGGCAGCTGAATTCTCTCCATGTGAATTTTTTTTATTAATTAATTAATTATTAACTTAAGTGGAAAAATTAATTAATTAATTAATTAATAATTGGATCCGATTATGGCGAGCGTGCCAGTGGGGGAGACTGTGGTTGCCCTTATCCTGTGTTGTAGTCTACAGCAGCGCACATAGCGAAGTGAACTGAAACGCGCATGGTAACACACACACACAGCAACACCATAAACCAACACTCAATGGCACGCCGGTGAAAATAACCTCCGCGCACGCCCCTGGCGGAGGTAAAAAGGTATTTACTACAATGTCTTATGTTTATATATTACTCTTTATCGCCTAAGAATTCCACGCAAGCTCCGTTAAAATACTCATCTACCACGCCCCATTCTTGCCACTATGCCTAAACTCACAAAAATAATGTCTGCCTAACAAGAGGTGGAGATATAGACATAGAAGAGAAATTATAGGAAGATGTTTATCTAATAGGAAAGTAGATTGTCTCACTTTCTATGGTTTGTGAGTTAAAGATAAGATGGGGTGGTAAGGTGCGCTGTATAGAGAGTGGAGTGCGGCGTTTGCGTGATTTATTAGACCATAAATGAGTATATAGGTTTTGTCAAGCTATATACACGGATGAGCGACGGACTGTTCACTTTATGTATTGAAGCGGTCCAAGAGCTTATACCGGCTAAGTAGTCTCGTCAAATTACTTCTTATATTTAACTTTCGTGCTTTCGCTTTTATTTCGTTATCTAAACCTCAAACTACCTCAGACAGATGGCGTGGCCAGATTCGAGAGCAGTGAATTAAAGCAACTCTACCGAGCGCCATTCAGCTAGAAATCGCCGCGTTGTTTAAACTCTCTGACGAGATTTGTTCTATTGCGTAGCGAGGCAGCCATCATTAGTTCAAGAGCGTATTAAGAAGCTGAACTGACCTTCTTAATACGCTCTGGATTAGTTGTTTTTTAAGACAGCGTACGCGCTAATTTGTTACAGTTAAAAGTGTCGTGTCGGTCGATACAGGGAAGCTTGATCTTAAACAGCCAGTTCATGGCCGCAGAGTAACCTTCTCGCTGGCAGCACCAGAAGTTAACGTTTTTAGTCTTCTAGGCGCACAGGCACTTGGAGCGTTTCAATAAAACATACGAAATCTTTTACCTACCAAAAGTCTATGGTGGCGGTCGCAGCTTGGCGTGCGTGTATCAGTGTTGTTGCAGAGGACATCTTGAGCACGACATTTACAGGAAAAAATTGTTCCCGGCCCGCAAATAAATAGGCCGAAAGAGAGAGAAATATTAACGACTTTGTAGTAAATAGAATATCCGATTTATTTAGCATTATATCTATTGAACGCTCCAAAGTGCCTGTTTCTAGCGTGTTTGGCCAAGATTCATGACGGAGTAGCCGTTCAATGATAACAACACTATTACCCCGGTTCACACGAGTAATGGTTTGGCTCGAGCTAAGATGGCTAAATTTGCGCAGTCTAATTTGGGTGCAGGCGCCGGTTTGAGTCGGAGCGTTCACCGATACGCAGTGAATACTGTCTGTCAAACTTCAAATTCAAAATTCAAATTCAATAAAATTTTATTGCACAAATATCTCACGATCTTTGGCAGTATGTTGCGAGATGGCGTTTCGCTAGGTATTCAGTGTTTTACTTCCGATCCAGTTTCAATTATCAATCTTGACAACTGCATCTTGAATCAAATTTTTTGAATTTTTTATAACTGTTTGGAGCTTTAATTTCGTCGAGAGTACACGTTTTAACACTCGCGGCAATACTACCGTTTACCGATTTAGGCCTGTGGTGCTAAAAATTTGGCTCGGGCCTGGTCAGACCTGTTTCGACTGGACCGAAATTGGCTCGTGCGTAACTCGGCACGCCGGCCGAAAACCGTCCGTGTGAACGCTCGCTCGAGGCGCAAATTTGCGCGCGCACTAATTAGGCTCGGCTAAAACGTCGATGTGGAACGGTCGCCTATTGACTTTACAGCGTGCGAGATTTTGCGACTCTATACAGGCGACCCCTTTCGGCGTGTGCATCGTTATACGCGCTCGTCTGCACGCGGCTTGTGACTCTTAAGTGTGCCTGCTATCAGGGGATATATATATATATAATATTATATATATATATATAATATTATATGATATATATAATATCATGTTATAATACAGATAGTATACAGGCAGAGAGAGACAACGCGCACGCACGTCACGCGCAGAACACACCACCGCGCGCACGACGGCCGCGCAGCGCGCACACACACACACACACACACACATCACACACAGCACACACACACACACACACACACATTCACACCAGACCACCACACAGAAGATAGAGAGAAGAGAGAGAGAGAGAGAGAGAGAGAGAGAGAGAGAGAGAAAGAGAGAGACGAGAGAGATGGAGAGAGAGAGAGGAGAGGAGAGAGAGCGAAGAGGAGAGAAAGAGAGAGAGCAGAGGAGAGCGAGAAGAAAGAGAAGAAAGAGAGAGAGAGAGAGAGAGAGAGAGAAGAGAGAGAGAGAGAGAAGAAAGAAGAAGAGCGAGAGGGAGCGAGAGAGAGCAAAAGAGGAGAGAGAGAGAGAGAGAGCAAGAAAGAAAAAAGAAAGTAAAGAGAGAGAGAGAGAGGAAAGAGAGAGAGAGGAGAGAGAGAGAGAGAGGAGAGAGAGAGAATGAGAGAGAGAGAAAGACGACGTCCTCGTAGGTTTGCAACATTCACCTGGGCCGTAATCTCATCTTACTGCATGACTAATCGTATGACAATCCTTCGTGTATCGCAGCCGCCATTCTGAAGTCGTGCGAAATAAGGCTTCGCGCGCTTTCGGTTATATTCGTAAGCTGTTACTACACGCTGTGTGTGTAAGAGCGTTGGCGCGGTGATGTATAGACTGACGAGCTTGTGATAAAACGATTAAGATGCGACCTCTTTTGATATCAACGCCGTAGTTGTTAGCTTAGACGTCCGGGTGGGTGTGATGCGTACGTGTCAATTGCGTATAGATTTTGTGATCGCGACTTGGATGGTCTTCCAGGCTTTAGTTGATGGTGTTATGGCTCGACAACGTTTATT